CCCCAAAACCCCAAAACCCCAAAACCCCATATAAGGGTGATGAAGTAGAAATAAATAAATACTTAAATATGTATCAGATTCCCGTGCTAAGTCAGCAATGTAAGTATAGAAGTTTAGAAGGAGGTTAGTTAGAGAAGAATTATGATTTTGAGAATATCTTGACGTTATGAATGATGTTATTTAGGAGAGTTGGTCTGGCTTCATTCATGCCACATTTTTCTCGTAATACTAAACCTTCTGGTGAAAGTTTGCATTCAAATTCAATAGTATATTTCTTGCTTTTAATAATCCAAGTGAGCTTCATTATTAGTATCTGAAGATAGATGTCAAATCTAAAGCTTAGTGCTAAAATTTGGATAAAATTCAAAAGCTTATACAACTTTTGGTTATTCACTAACTTATATAATAACACTCTAACAGGTTTTGCTTATTAAATCTTGCCCATTAATAAACTCCACTTTGACCAGAAATGGTGTTGAGTTCTCTTGCTAATTTTCTAAATTTGGGCAATGGAAATAGTAAGAAAATTGATAATAACACGTAAAGTTTTATTTTAATAAATCTTTGACATATTCATATCTTTTTAGGGAAAAAAGATCCTTGGATGATGGTTCCACAATACTCTCTTCATAATTTCTGATTCTGTGATTATCCGAATAGTAACTTATGATTACAAGATATTTATTGAACACAAGTTTCTAAAAATAAGCCATCCCAACTTGGATGCTCAACAAATGGAACTGGAGAAGTGTGAACAGTTAAAGAATTTCAGACAAGATCTTCTACAGAATCAATAAGAGGGGATATCCAAGAGCCCCTTTCAAAAGAAGCCTTTGAAAAGTTCCTATCTAATCAAATTACTAGTGGTTGCCACATGCAACTTTCTCCGATGCTTAATCTCTCGAAGAAGCAGATGAAGAAAACTGAGAGAGATTTTACTAATTCAAACGCAAGGAAAGATGTTATTTACAAGGCGATATTAAGGTTCTTCAGAAGAAATTGTCAGATAGAAATAAAGCGACTCGAATGTTCGATGTGAAGCCACCAACCAGACTCTCTTTGCTGTCATACAGAGGAGAAAAGTACAGTGTTCTTGAGCTCTGAACTTGGCATCCCTGTGACTGCTGAGCTGTTAGAGATCTTTGAAGTAATCATATCGTTTGGCTCCACCACGCTTTCCAGAGAGTCTCCAGTCTATGAATTTACTCGCTTGTTTAAAACCTGAATGGAGAAATTTAATCGCAAGAAATTGCACAAAATATTGTCAAATAAATATTTTGCAATAATTCTCCTCAAATTTTGGGAAAGATCTGAGTTATTTGAGAAAATGGTGAGATGCTTGAACATGAAGAGGGAACAAGAGATAAATGTAGAAGCTCATAGATACTATCTGCATAAATTGATGCGCAGCTGAACAGACACTCTGGAAGTACAGATATCATAACTGTTAATTCATATAATCCATTCCATGCTTATAATAGATTCAAAATATTTCATGCTTACATTTTCTAATTTTATGTGAAATAATGCTTCCTTCAGAACTATAATTTCTGGATATTTTTAGTGATATTTCTGAGCGATAATAGAAAATTGTGAGTGAGAGATATGCCCAGCATCGCCTCATTCTGCACTTTATATGCTTTCATTTTCAACTAAATGGCAATAAAATGAATGTAAATCTATCTTTTCAATTTGTCGAAAAATTATAATTTGGTGAAATCTTCCCTCTACTCTAGGTTTTAGAAGGATTAGGGAACAAGAGAGTTATATTAACTACACAAGTCAAGGGTTATTATTATGAAGGAGATAAAACTCTCACGTATGCTATAAATCTTCAATAGGCTCAATAAAACTGAAATACTTCTATTTCAGACAACCATGCTTGCAATTTTTAATCAGGATAGAACGGAAGTAATTTTATATATTTTTCAAAAAGGGTGATTATTATAATTTCTTTCCTTGGCTTGAGAAACTCAGGGAGTCTCTCTTTCTTCCTCATGAACACTTTAAAGCCTTAGGCATACATCAGATTTGACAGGAGAATTATTAACTGAGAGTTTTCGAATAGTGTCGAAAGCTTCAAAAGATTATTATTTCTAAGAGTCCTAGTGTTGCTAGTTATTGATGGGTTTGAAATAGAAGATAAGAGGAATGATCAAGCACACATCTGATCTTTGTTTCATAGTCCTTTGAAATTTATTAGGCTAGGGTAAGTAATACGGCTGAGGTTAGAAGTCTAAGGGGTTATAAATAATTTATAGTCATATTTCTTCTGAAGGATTTGTAGATGATTTAAATTAAGTATTCATAATTTCTTTGTATTAAAAATATTATTTAACTTAAAATTAGAGAAAGAATGAGTCATCTTTTTCAAGAATTCGCCAAGAAAATATAGCATATTATAATTATTCAAGAAATCTGATAAGAATTGATCCATAAAGGGGTAGGAAAAGATGATAAATTCTCTGACTAAAATTTTTAAAACTGTTGCTACTAAAAATAACTCTCATTCAGATATTATTATTAAAAAGCTCTTTGATAGCAAAATTAGGAGGGAGGATGTCTCAGGGTTTATTTCATATAATTTATTGACATATCACCAACTTATGTTATTCCTCTAATTGGCCCCAAATAAACTGTTGAGAATTTCACTGAGACTCTATGAAAATAGTGAGAAAAGAGCCTTAGGACCTCTTCAATAAACAAGCGGGAGCTCAAATTTTAGCATCATGAGTTCTTGATATTATTAAAGCTGGATCAGGTTCCTAGTCCAAACTTTTACATTTAACAGGGATGCTAACCTAATTTTTGTGGAAAATGGCCTTTAATTAGGAAAAATATTATATGGATCTTTCAGTCTTATTAGGACCAAAGATTTAGTGCTCCTCTAGTCATAAGTGATTTTGGTATAAATTTCCCATGATTTATTTGGTAGATAGGCAGTTTATTTTTTAAAAAATTTTATGAACTTTTCATGAAATACTACCGAACAAATTATAACCTAAAAAGTAGATATTGGCATGAAAATGAACATAATAAAAGACATAGCATTTCAGATTCTGTGCAAAATCAGGAGATCAATTTTCATGCAAATTTTTTATACTTTTTGTGCTCAAAAAAAATATTGTCAAAGAGAATAACTTCAAAAGATGGATATGAAGAAAACTTTAGTAATAAAATTCAATTGAGAAGCTTATAAACTTTTAGATAAAAGATATCTGAATTTTTAAATATAAAAAAGTGCAGTTTTGAGAAAATTAGTGAAAATTTCATATCCATATTCTTAAACCTAAGTACTTATCAGCTCATTCAGAAACCCGAAGCAAATAAAGAAGAAAGCTCTAACAATGATACTGTGAGGGCATACAAGTGGCTTAGGAAATATTTCGAATAAAGTTGTAAGATAAAATTATTAGCATGATTTCCGACGAGTACATTTATTGATACCCAATATCTTCATGCAAAGATAAGGACTCATTCTGCAAATAAACTATTCTGAAAGAGTGATTTTTAAACTTCTTGGAAAATTTAAAAATCCTAAGTCCTTACTCAAATTCATCAAAATTAGATAGCTGCTAATAATTATGACTTTGAGTGACAATTTATAATCATATGATTTCTAAAACTGTGAATTTTTGATGTAATTATTTTACCAAAAATTCTTCTTATATTTCAGACTCTCCTAATCCTACTGAAAGAGATGAAAGCAACCAACCAAAGAATCGCCTACCATACCACCTCTAAACTCCTAACCCACGAATCCATTCTTTAAAATCTCTTACCACCTTCATTCCTCTTACATTCTAAACCCACTAATCCCCCAAAACACTCCACCAAGACCTGCCATCTCCCTTTCAACCTTATAACCACACACCTCTACAGCTTCATTTGTTCCCAACTTTGCCGACAACTGTCTTCCTAAACCTCCCAAAAATGTTGCCTGCATCACTCAGTCCTTCCTACTGCTAGTAGAAGTCTTGGGCAGAATTTTTAGCGTCTTAAGGGATTTTTGGAGAAGTTTTAACAGGTTCTTAAGGCGGCCATATTATTTTATTTGGGATTTTCAGCAGGGGAGTTATTCAGGGGTTTTGGGGTTTTGGGGTTTTGGGGTTTTGGGGTTTTGGGG